CTTGGGAGTGTATGCAACAAATTTGAAGCCATCTACAAGTGATAAAGACTTAGGCGACGCGTTGTTTCTAGGAGGCACAAGTCCTCGGACGTTAGCGAAAAAGAGAGCCTTCATTGCACTGAAGCGCACAGACATTATGCAGTCTTTTAAACTCCGTTCGTATCGCAGGAGAGACGCGTTCAAGATTGATACCCGGGAACCTATTTTGTTGACGCAGGTTCGCCATTACTCATCAAACCGCTAAAGAACTTGGACCGACGAGAAAAAAATTTCAATTACTTATTATTTTTTCTAAATGTCTATCAAAATGTCTATCAAACTAAAAATAGTTATATTTTTCTTTTTAGTTTTAACTTATATGTCAAACAGGGGCGGATCTAGGATTTTCTCGAAAGGGGGGGGGGCGCGGATTTTCAAAAAAAAATATTTCGAAAATTTTGTCGACCTTTGTTTTTTTTAGGTCGACCGAATTGATTTTTGAGCTCTCCCTAAGCATGGTTTGGTCCCTTTTTCGGCAAAATTTTCTGCGCCGCAGGCAAAAACTTAAAAAAACAGTCCAAAAAGGCGTTTCAGAAAAATTTTAGGGTCGTTCGGCCAAAAATGGATTTCTTAAAAATTACCAAAGGGGGGACCCTTTGGGTTGGCAGGGGGTCGAATCCCTGAGGAAGGGGTGTACGCCCCCAGCCCTCCCCCCCCCTAAATCCGCCCCTGATGTCAAACCTATCTGAAATCAGAACTCTTAGAAAAGAATATAACTTACTCCAATTCACTTTTTCCCTGAACAAAAACTTTGTTTTCACAGCCGTTCACTGAGCTTAGTTACAACTTAATTGTTTGTTCCTGTTCAATAAGTTTTTCGTCTCTCTTCTCTGGTAAGCTATCGTTTTGTAATATACTCATCTAGGGTTGGGTTGGTCTTTAGAGTTTTTTTGAAAACACGAAAAGCGCTTTGTCTTAAGTAAACTTTTGAAGCTGTGGAAGTATCGTTATTGTTTCAAAAATTATCAAAAAATTTTCATACCACAGTTTTCACAAATCGTGGTATTCAAATTGAAGCCACCTCAATTTCTTAAGGCAAAAAGGGATATTAATAGCAACATGACCAGTGTACGTATTTGAAATGATTACAACATTTAAACTTTAAAATCAAAAGCGTAAGCCAGCAGAATTGCAGCAAACTTTCAGTCGCTTTTCAACTCAAGTATATACAAATTTTGCTGGTTGTTCCGACTTTCGTAACGAAAGTAACGGAATATTTGTGCTCATGGTGTATTTTTTCTTCAGAAAAATTTAGACTTTTTAACTAGCCATTTTTGACGAATTTTTTAAATATCATTCAAAAATTTTGTTGATCCGAGCTTAAATGTGAAAAGATATTTTACCTGTGATGATTTTTAGTAACGTTATGGGGGTTTAAATATTGCCATTTTGGCTAATTTGGGACAATTAACGCGCACTATTAACGTAAGCGAATGTTAAGCTGCAATTGCCTTAACTATGGAGTGAAATTGCGTTGGGTAAATTGTCATTAGATGAAACGAAACATAGGGTGAGACAGTTTTGGTTAAAACGGAAAAGGGTATTTTGGAATAAGGAAAACGTCATGAAACCGTTTAGTCCGTCTTAGAAGTCGTACCAAATTGGTTGATAGAAGCTTATTTGCCAAAATTGAGTTGTTAAAAGGAGCAAAACCTATCACTTTGTACTTTATATGACGTGTGGGGGTGATTTTCACAAAACATGTCAAATAAAAAAAAGTTAGTTTTAGTTTCTTATTTTTAATTTTTTCATGATATTATTGCTTCATAGACTTTAAAAGGCAGTAGGAAGATTCTTGCTTTGCCCTGATACGAGCTGTCTTGTATTTATTTGGATCTAACTAATTCCGCTGAATGCAGTTATAGTGGTACAAAATATTTGCACGCTGCTACCCATTCAAGAAAAAAATACAAAAGAAAATTTTTCAAAAATTGGTGAGGTTTAGATGGGATAGGAGATCCAGAGGGCATAAAATTGATTGTCATTAGGCTTCAACAACATTTCAAATTTTATGGGGATGTGGATAACCTATTCCGATACAATTGTGCAAATTGAGACGGTCAAGGTTAAACACAAATTGTCATAAATTAGAGTCTTCTTCCAACATGTTAGCAAAAAACACCTAACAGTCAACAGCCTTCAATTAAAAGTGCATGAACTCAATGAAGATATAAATTATTGGTCCGTCCCAGTTTTGTGTCTTTTGTATTTTTCCGGTTTCCGTCAATAGTTTGTCGGAACAATTTAGGCAATTAGCATTCTCTCTTCCAATTTTTTGATAAAAAATAACTTCCTTCCCTTTCACTCGTTTTTGTTTTGGGGGAAAGGACGATGTGAAAACGATTTTAAAATTAGGTACTCGTTTTGAAGTATGGTCCCGTTTCCGTTTGAAACATTGTTTAGAAGTATGGTTCTGTAAAACCACCAATTGTCCCATTTAAAAATCAGAAAATAAATTTTTTGAAAAGTAGATTTTTGGTTTTCTTAGTGAGTAATTTTTTGGTAATTCTGTTTTGGAGAGGGTTTTAGCGGCAAATCCAATGAAAAAATGTTTTAAAATGTTCATTTTGTTTTAATCCACTTGAAGTACAAGCTTCTAAACGAGCTTTTGAATGGGACTCAAAAACGCACCCGCATTTAAGTAGGGTTTTGAAACAATTGATTATAAAGAGTTTTTGTGATCTAAAAAATTGTCATTATAATTGATTTCCATGTTACGCTCAGGTAAAAATTTGGATTGAAAATAGTTTTAAATAAAAAAATTTCTGGTGAAAATATAATTCATTAGAATTCATTGGTAATCTATTATAATGGTATTTGTATTAATTAGAAAATCAAATTCAAAAGATTTGTTCCCACTTTATTTTTGTTTCGCGTCATGCGAAATCTTGCAAGAGTTTTTGAATTTATCAAATGAGTAATGCGGAAACTTTGCAACGCGAGTCTACGGCCTGCTCCATTTCTAAACCTGAACTCAACATGCAAAAAGATTCAATTAACCTCTCCCCCAAACGTTGGCCCCTTTACTCCCTTAAAAATTTAAGAACATTGTTGAAAGGAACAAAATTGGCTTATTGAGTAACTTAAGAAAATAAATAAATATCAAAATTGCGCAAAGCTGAAATGAACAAGAAAAAACCAACTTTAGTTTAAAACGTAAAAAGACTTTATGTGGGTTAAATTCGCATCTCAAAGAAGTGGAATAAAATCGGTAATAATTGAGTTTCATTGTCAATTTCCACAAAACAAAATCGATTATGATAGAGTTAGTTGCAAAATGGATTTTGTTGCCTCGAAAAATGGTAATACTAGAATCCATTTTTAAATGATTATAATAGTTTCTTTTCACTTTTGAGGACAATGACAATAAAGCTCAATTATATTTGATTGTTATTCATGGAACTCCAATGCGGGTATCCAAACTAAAAGTGAGCTTGGGAATCTTAGCGTGGTCTATTTGAAAGGAAGTGATAATATCTTGATCTTATTCCTCCCTCTCTTCTAAAACTACAAAAAAACTTGTTCATGAATTGTTCAACCACAATTTGAATGGGTAAAACTTAGGGTCTTTCCCTTTATCGCCCCTCCAAAATTGACAATTTTTTTGGCTCTTTTACAGTTCCCCTTTTCAAATTCAACTTTGAAAAGCTTATTTAACGTTGTCAAAAGGCAATTAAATTTGGCGGGGTGAACGAATAGACAACTGTGAACAGATTTGTTCTTCATACCTTACAGCGTAACATCACGCATTTAGCCGTAATAAAACGTAAAACAAACATTAAACTCGTGGCTCTTTTTCCTTCCCCCCTACCGCGTATGAGCATCAATTTTATAATGTAATGAGTGGTTTTACAAGGTTTAATTATAAAGACCAAAAATGTTTGTCATGGCCTGATTAGTCCGCATGCCAACTTTCTTGTTAATAGGTTGATGGGAACAGTAATTTTACTTGTAAAAAACTGCAGGTGGGGGAAAAGGAAAAGAGCCAAACTCGTTATTTTGGAAAGTGGGGGGGGGGGGCGGAGGGGGGAGGAGGGAACTGGATAGGAGCAAAATTTTTTATCATGAAAAAAAGTTTTTACTATCCTCAGGTTAAATTTGAAAAGATGTTTCACCTGTGATCAATTTTCGTAAAGTTATTGGGGTTTAAAGGCAGCCGTTTTGGCCAATTTGGGACAATTAACGCACGATATATTTTGTGCTATTAACGCGTAAGCAGAAATTTTATCCGTCTTAGAAATCGTTTCAAATTGGTTGAAGGAAGCTCATTTGTTATTGATTTGTTACTATCACTTTGTACTTTATATGGCGTGTGGGGGGATGATTTTCACAAAAATACTCAGCTTAAAAAAATTGTTTTATTTCATTACTTTTAATTTTTTCTTGTTATTAAATTACTTGTTATTCTTGTTATTTATTTTTAACTATAAAAGGCAGTCGAAACATTCAGGTCTTCGCCCTGATACGAGCAGTTTTGTTTGTTTCGTCTATATTTTTTTTACTGGAGGGGTTATAATTTACTGGAGAGCTGTAATGAGAAAAAGCCAAAAATTGCTTAAATTTGTTCACTTGATCACACTGACATGTTTGTTTTAGCGTTTGGGCTCTTTTCCAGTTCTCCCCCTTTCAAAATACCGAGTTTTATGTATGTGTTACGTGTTATTACGGCTAAATGCGTGATGTTACGCTGTAAAGTATGAAGAACAAATCTGTTCAAAATTGTCGATTTGTTCACCACGCCAAATTTCATTGCATTATGACAATGTTAAATAGACTTTTCAGTATTGAATTTGAAAGGGGGGGGGGACTGGAAAAGAGCCAGCGTTTGCAACATTTTAAATTGGGCAATTTCGAAATTTAGTATTAGCCTTTTGGCATACCGCAAAGAGGGGACTGGAAAAGAGCCGGAACTGACCATTTAATATCAAAAAACACCCCGTTGAGCAATAAGAGTAACTAACTTGTTCTTCGTCATCCTGTCGCTCACTCTCTACATGTCCAGTCTCTTCACCCGCTTCCACTTCTTTCGGATCCTCTTCCTTCTCTTCGTGAACCCGAATCACTTCGTCTGCGGTTGGCTCCCCCGTTCCCTCTCCCTCTCCCTCTACCCCTTCCTCGCCTGCATCTGGTTTCGCCTCTTCCTCTGTTGCGGCCACTTCAGCTTCGGCAGCGGCCGCTACTGCTGGTGACTCGACCTCATCTGCAACCTTTGACGGTTCTACCTCAACTTCTGCATCTTCTGCGATTTCTGGTTTTTCAACATTTTCAACATTTTCTGGCTCTTCGGGCTGCTCCGGTGGGGGCTCCTCCTCTCCCGCGACAACATTTTCGGCTGGCGGCGCATTTTCACCCGAACTCTCTCTACTTTCTTCTTCGGGTTTTGGCGCTTCCTCTGAATTATCTGCCATGATTTTTAGATGGTGATTAAAATTTCTTCAAAATTATAAACTAGGTTTTTGAAAGCTAAAATTAAAAAAAATGAAAAAAACCGTGGTAGTCTGAATCGATAATTTTAATATGCTACAAAACTAAACGCTCTGCATCAAATGTTTTTTAAAAACTACAAGAAAAACAATTGTATTTTAATGCATTCGGTCGAATGTTTTGAGCACGTGCAGAAATGGTATCATCAAGACAGGTGATTTATAATATATAGCACGATTTTACTGTACATGAAGCCGTTTGAAGACCAGTAGTTGTACAAAGCTGGCGTTTAAACTTCATTTCATCCTTTGTCTCGGCTGATGGATTTTATATAGTTAAATCAGGTGAATATCACAAAAATCAGAAAATCACCAAATCCTAAATTTATTGCCATTTCTAACCAGCATTGATTCGGTCAAGTTTTCAACCATATCAATTTTTTTTAACTATTCGATGAACTGTTGCAAGTTGTTAGCTAAACATAAAATTATTATGTGAGCATTTGGAACCGAAAATAAGTAGAACCAAAGATGGAAATTTCCGAGCGGCAGCCGTCGGAAATCTGGCTAAAAGCTCGCGGACTAACCGCCAAAAAACTCGACCTAAACTACATTCTTCGTCAACTGGGATTTGGTCACGTGAAGAAATTTGAAGGTCAAATCCGGAAAACAGTCTGTGCCAGATATGGTCAAAAACTGTTCCAGAAGTACGCAGACAGAGATGGAAAAGTCTTCAATGTGATTGGCTCCGAAGACACGCTTCTCGAGTTCGTTTCACGACTCAAAGTCGTCAAATCCGAGCTGACAACACGACTTCAAACCATAACTTCGGGTAGTTACAGGGTATTTGGGCTAATTTCGGCTAAGAAACCGCTGATTGTTACTGATATATCGACAAACGATCCGCAAAGACGAGAACTTTTCTTCAATGAGATCAAAAAAGTAATCGAAGAACAATTAACACAGGTCACAAAGTTCAACTTGATGAGCACAGAGGTTAGTGAATCGAACGTACTTTTGAGTGACTTCTCTCAAGATTTAGAGGAAAATTCACCGAGTTTGAATGTAACAACAGAAGCCTTAGGTTGGCTCGAAAAGATTCGAAGCGTCGAGCCTAAACAAACAGACGTAAGTTCGACGCTCGCAAAAGTCGCGGAGGACCAATCTCTGTACGATTCCGTAGTCCTATTCGTCGAAAATGATATTTCGACTGATTACATGAACAATATCGACAAAATACTTACCGACACCGGTTTAAAACTGAACCTAGTAAGTTTCAATAATTCAGACACTGATAATTTTGGAGAACTTAACAGAATGATTTCAAAACACGGCGGAAAGTTTAGAGCGTTTTCTATAAATGAAACAGAAGAAGACGTTATAGCGCAGACCACTTCCTTTTATGGGAGTACACCCGAAGGAGCTTCGTTAGACGAAGACGCTTTCCTTATATGGTCAGAGCTTGAAGATTGCAAGCAGACGATCGATGATGTCGATACAATTTACGAGAGACTGAAAACTATGCGAGAAACTTACGAGCAAGAGCATTTAGCTAAAACGAAGAAGAATATTGAAGTTCCGAAAAAGAAACGAGCAGCTCCTTTGATTGTGACAAGTGACAATTATCTTAGCTCGGAGCAGTGGTTAAAAAAATACGGAATTCCTGCATCGAAGCTCGATTTCTATACGTTTCTTGCAGGTCACGTCTTTAAACATTGCAACGGTGTTGTTGACATAAAAACCGAACCAAATGACGACGACCCTGATTTTAAATCGCCGGCTGATGAGAAAAGTGTCCTCGTCAATGCAAAGTATTGTCGGAAGTTTGTTCACATAATTTGGAAAGACGGTGAAATTAGGCATGTTTTACTGACTGGCTCAGTTTACCGCGACTTTATGGAACGAGCGACAAATTTGGGCTACAAAATACAACTTCGGATGAACTTCCTCAAAGAGGGCAGTCGGGAGTTGTTCGGAACAATCTGCGAGGATAGCATCTACATCTTGATTGACACTTCGTCTTCAATGGAAGCCAAAATTGATCTTGTGGTCAAAAAACTTCATCAGCTTATGGATGAACAAATCCGAGACAAAAGAAGTTTCAACATCGTCTGTTTTAACTCCGAAGTAGTACCTTGGAGGTCTAAAATGGTCGAAGTCACAGATTCGAGTATCCAAGCTGCCAAAACGTGGACCAAATACATCGCAACCAGTGGTTCTACTAACACTTTAGACGCTCTGCAATTCGCCCTTTCGGATAAGAAGACTCAAGGTGTCTATCTGCTAACTGACGGTCGGCCTGATCAACCTGAAAAAGCCATTCTACAGCTTATACACGTACATACTGAAGTACCGGTGCACACCATATCTTTCAACTGCTTTGACAAGGCTGCCAATGATTTCTTGCACCACTTAGCCGATGAAACAGGAGGCCGATTCCATCTTTACCAAGATGTTCCGTATAACTCTGAAACAGATGGTCCGCGACCACATGTTAGTTTAGATTTAGTTCTGCTTCAGAAAGAGTTCGACTCTTTGAAACAAGTTCAGAGAGTGATCAGGACTCTTAGGCAGGAGTGTGAACTAATGGAAAAGTACAAAGAGCCAGACACTGTTCCAAAAGCCCCACCTAAAACTTCGTCGGACAACATTGACCAAACAACGCTTGCTATGCGACGAAAAGCAGCTGCCGAGAAAAAACGCCACAAAACTCAAAAAGCAATGACTTGTCTCAGTACAGCGTCGAGTCAGTCGGATATTCGAAAGGAAAGTTTGCGTAAATCGATAAAGGGAGAATCGGACAATTGGATGCTCAGAGAGGACAAAGAACTCTTTGCAGACGAGAAACAATTGACTCAAAAAGCAAAAGCGCAGCTTCTTAGACGAGAAGAAATTAAGAAGAAACTTGGCGAGACTTCAGCTATGACTGAGAATAGAACTTTAGGAGCGTCTCAGTTTACTCAAAGCGAAACAGATGGTGAGAAACAGTCAATAAAAAGTTGGCTGAAAAAGAATTCACTTGTTGCCAAAAAACTGACCTTAATTGATGTTCTGAAACCGACAATTATTCGACATTCAGCCAAATACATACCAGTTTTGGACAAGCACGTGACTGGAAAAGTATTTGAGGATATTTTCCCTGACTTCTACATTCAAAGTGGAAACAAAGATGAAATCAAGTATGTAAATCCAACCGCTGTTGACCTTGAGTCTTATGAACAAAAAGTTGAAAAACAGATTCGTATCTACAAACACAAGCTCAACAAAGTGGTTTGGGAAGCGTTGTCAGAGGAAGCGAAACTTAAGCACTTCGACGGAAAAGGACCGGTTTCCTTTTTCAACAACAAAGAAAAAATGATGAAGCTTCTTGAAGAATATGAATGGCCAGTGGATGACCAGGAAATCGACTTACTACTGGACGAAATCAAATTAGGCTACGAGCTTATTCAAAAATCAACCGATTTGAGAAACGTCAATGTTGAAAATAACACAAATGAAAGTTTCAGCGAAGACAGCGAACAATTTCAGAAGTCGCGACCAAAAACGACTGTCGAAGTGAAAAATCGAAGTAGAAACGAAGCCGCGAAAACGAGCACGGCACGGGAACGCGAGCCAAATATAATAGACCTATCACCTGTCGCTCAAAGAGGATACTCGAACGTGCAAGGAGTTTTGCACGGTGAGAGAGCTCACGGGTCTTCAAAGTCAGCAGTCCCAAGTGCTCAAAAAAGACTTATCCAAGAAAGCAGAGGTTTGCCCGTTATAGCCAGAAATGAAATTGACGGATATTACTATCCTGCAACTATCTTGGAATCCGAGTCCTCAAATTCAGCCATTGTAAAATTTGGCAACGAACAGTGCTCTAATGTCGAAACTAAACACATAATTCCAAGAGCAGGAGCTATTTCTGGACCTCAATTGCAAGTCGGGGACTTTGTATTGGCACAGAAGCCCAAAGATCCACTTCAAAAGTTTCACCCAGGGATCATATTAGCACTACCCTCAAAATCGGAGCCGCAGCCTCATTACTACACGATTGTGTTGTGGAACCGAAAGCAAGTGGCTTCTACGAGGAAACTTATTGTAAAAGTTTCTCAACAACGATTCCAGGAAACGGCAACATACATCCACGATATGCACAATATATCGTTAGAGTTGCAGCGAAATAAAGGAGATCTAGAGCAGAACTTGACTATTACCAAATATGGAAGCAAGAAGACCAAGCAGATGCTCAATAGAACGAAAGAGAAAAAAGTCGAAGTTTCACCATATGAGAAGAAAGTGCCGCCATTAAATAAAAGTTCTCGAAAGACAAAGAACGCCTCGATTTCGACTGGAAGCAGTTCATTTGTCGAAGAGTTAAGTTCACGATCGTCCCAAAGCACAATTAAATCGGCAAATAAAACTAAACCACGTAAAGTTACGGCCATTAAAAAAGCCGACAAAAAGCAAGAAAGCGTCAAACCTGAAGGCGAAGAATTAAAAAAATCCAGTTCCTCAACTTCTTCTAAGAAGTATAGCTCCTTCTCAGATGACTCCAAAAAATCAAACGAGGTCAAAATTCCCAGCGCAGACTCGGATGACCGAGAAAAACCTAGGTCAGGGTCGGTTAGTGGGTCAAAATCAAGGTCAAAAAGTGATGATAGCAAAACCCTCTCGAGGAGTAGCAGCTCGTCATCGTCATCTTTTAAGAGGTCGGATCAAGACAGATCGCCGACACGAATGAACCGCAGAGAAGACAGTGACGAAGAGATTCAAGACGACACCGAGCAGCAAGTCTCGGAAATCCGAAACGAGCTGGAAGACAAATCGGACGAAGAAAGAAAAAGCGAGAGCGAGAGCTCGGATGGGGATGTAAATGAAACCCAAGGGGTTGCCGACACGGACGAACCCGAGATAGCTGCCGTGATGCAGACGACGACTACCGAACGAACAGACGACCGACCGAAGTCGCCAACTCCGAACAATCTTCTTTTCGGTGTCGAAGATACGGGCGACGAATCACGTGACTTGAATCAGCCCGCGAACTTAATTCTCAACGAAGTCGAAGACAGTATAAAAGATCAGTTCGTGTCAATGACAAGCGAATCGGAAAGAGCCGAGTATCTGCAGAAACTTCTCGAATCAACTGTCGAGCAGAACATGAGCCGACTAGAGAAAAATCAAAACCGAGTCCAACAGCAAATCCGAGCGGCCGAGAGTCTCCATACCAACGCCGACGAGAACAATATAGATTATATTATCAATGCCACTGGAATGCCTATGAAAGCATCAAAACTTCAGAAAACAGAGCAAATTTTGGCAAAATGGGGCGATGATCAATGGTACTATAAACATTATGTTGTATACGATATGCATAAAGGCTATTACGCTGTCCGGGATAGCTTCAACAGCATGGATATTCTATCACGACTTGAAATGATTTCCGAGGAAAATGACGCCGACGACATTATTCGCAAAGACGACTACGTGTTAGCCCTGTACCCCTATTTTGATGACGAGCGATTCGGACCAGCAAAAGTTATCCAGGGTAATTTATCCAATAGTTTGGTCGTGGAGTTTTTCGACGACCGAGTTGCGACCATTGATCTCGAAAACTGTTACAAAATTGCGTTCCACCGATTCGCAAACGAGATGTCAAAAATCATGACCGTCTACAGTAATTGGGTGACGAAACCCGTGATCTTCAAATGCGATTCGTCTAAGCGAATCCAAATCGGGATCATCTGGGACTTCGACCCCCAGCAGAAGCACCAGATGGTGATTCGGGATGCCAAATCCGACTTGAGTTTCCAGCCTGTGGAGAATCTATTCGGTCCTATAAGGAAGGGAATGACGTTGACTAGGGGAGAACATGTTTTGGCCCCAGTAGAGGATAACTCGGCAGATTACGTGCCCGGTGTTGTAGTTGAAGTTAAGGTTGGTAGCCGGGCCCATTTGCAGGTTGCAAATTAGAAAATTGTTTGGCGGCATATTCATGTCGAAAATGTGGCAAAATTAGGTTCGGCATAGAATAAAGTTCAAATGTCGTAATTTGAAAAAAAATTTTCAGGATAACTAAAATGATAAAAATCACGGGAAAAAAGGCGAACCTATCAAAAATTTAACCTTGTTTCTAGGGAAAAAGGAGAACCTATCAAAAATTTAACCTTGTGTCATCGTCTTTGCTTCAGGCCTGCGTTCGTAATACAGTTGAACAAAAGTTAGGGCATCGAAGCGTACTAGCATGTTTCTTTATACAGTCGATTCAAAAATATATATAGCGAAAGGATGTTAATAATATTAATATAAAATATTAATGTAAAATATGAATTCAAAAATTCTGTGAATTGAAGTTTTTTCAGGATGACACAGTCATTGTCAAAACTGGCTCCTCTCAAAGAGAAGGCATCATCAAACACAGGTGTGTATGGATCAGCCGAAAACAGTACAACGAACTTCTGCGATTCGCCCGGGAGAACAACCTAATGGTTACTAACAAAAGCCCCTCTCCTCCTCTGAGCTCACGACTCATGCTCGGTGAAAGTTCAAACCTTACGAGCACAGCTAATCCTCAACGCAACGATGCTTTTGTCATAACAGACGCAAAGCCGTTTGTACACCAAGAAGTGTCGAGCTCCGAGGATGATTTTGGTAGAAGCGCTATGTTTGATTAGATATCTATAAAATACATTGATGCGAAAATTCAAATATCTTTGTTGATGATAAATAATTATGATTTCTTTCAAAACTTATTTTGGTATCTGTCAAAATATTAAAATCTAAAATTAACCTAATTGAAAAGTTCTTTGTTTTTAAAGAGAAAAAGAAAAGCATCATCTACACGATTGATAATTCGGTCACACTCGATCTTTAGCAAAACAAGCCTTTCACGCTCAAAGGAAAATTTTTTCACGTCTAGGTTCTTTCAAAATAAATTATTGAAGGTTAACTCGAGTTTTCGATAAGACAAAAAACTATTCGAGTTATAGCCAATCGATTTATCTTCCAAATGGCACATACCGGGCTTATTGTTGTAGCTGTGGTTGGTTCAGTTTTAGTTATAGCCCTAATCACTGTTTTACTAGTATGGTTTTACTTGGGTAAAAAGCTGCGAAAAAGTACTAGCGCCACTGCTGAGAACGAATTCGACAAAATGGAATCCCGTCAAAGTATTTTGGATGCTTACGGCCGACGTTTCCAAGATGATGAAAAAGCTCGTGAAGAGGAGCAGCTAAGAAAATGGAAGCCAAAAAAGAGCAATAAAACCCCAAGTAAAAGTAGCCAAAGCGGCGTTGATGTCGGTAGTAGGCTTTCGTCTTTCGTAAATTCAGCCTCAAACTCGAATGCGGCTATTTCGGAAGATGTAAAAGAAACAGCTGGGCAAGTTTCTGATGATTTGAAAGCGGGAGCAGATGTGATTGCCGATGATCTGAAAACAGGTGGAGAAATAATCTCAAACGACTTGAAAACAGGCGCGGAGAAAATTTCTAATGATTTGAAAAACGCCAAGAAATAGAGGCTATATTAACAGTTAATTTGAACCGCGTTTTATCTGAATTCTGTTGCAAATTATCCTATCTAGTATTTTTTTGATGCAATTGATTTTGAGCCGATATGAGAACCTTGATTCAAGCTAAATAAATCTGTTCAACGAAATGTCTGTTTTTTTCCTGAATAACAAATAGTCATAATTCTCGAATTAAACATAATTCTCGAATGAAACATAATTCTCGAGACTTTTTTAAACTAATTGTTCCGACTTTCGATACGAAAGTAACGGAATATTTGTGCTCGGGGTGGGTTTTTTTTTTCTTCAGACAAATTTCGACTTTTTAACTAGCCATTTTGACGGAATTTTTTTTATATCATTCGAAAGGTATTGTTGTCTTGAGCTCAAATTTGAAAAGATATTTTACCTGTGATCATTTTTCGTAAAGTTATGAGGGTTTAAAGATTGTCATTTTGGCCAATTTGGGACAATTAACGCGCGATATATTTCGCGCTATTAACGCGTAAGCGGAGAGTTAATCCGTCTTAGAAATCGTTCCAAATTGGTTGAAAGAAGCTTATTTGCCATAATTGGTTTGTTACAAGGAGCGAAATCTATATTTTTGTTCCGACTTTCGATACAAAAGTAACGGAATATTTGTGCTCGGGGTGGTTTTTTTTTTCTTCAGACAAATTTCGACTTTTTAACTAGCCATTTTTGACGGAATTTTTTTATATCATTCGAAAGCCACTGTTGTCTTGAGCTTAAATTTGAAAAGATATATCACCTGTGATCATTTTTCGTAAAGTTATAAGGGTTTAAAGATTGCCATTTTGGCCATTTTGACCAATTTGGGACAATTAACGCGCGATATAATTCGCGCTATTAACGCGTAAGCGGAGATTTAATCCGTCTTATAAATTGTTCCAAATTGGTTGAACGAAGCTTATTTGCCATAATTGATTTGTTACAAGGAACGAAATCTATCTTTTTGTACTTTATATGGCGTGTGGGGGGATGATTTTCATAAAAATTTCATAAATCGTAATACAGTTGAACAAAAGTTAGGGCATCGAAGCGTACTAGCATGTTTCTTTATACAGTCGATTCAAAAATATATATAGCGAAAGGATGTTAATAATATTAATATAAAATATTAATGTAAAATATGAATTCAAAAATTCTGTGAATTGAAGTTTTTTCAGGATGACACAGTCATTGTCAAAACTGGCTCCTCTCAAAGAGAAGGCATCATCAAACACAGGTGTGTATGGATCAGCCGAAAACAGTACAACGAACTTCTGCGATTCGCCCGGGAGAACAACCTAATGGTTACTAACAAAAGCCCCTCTCCTCCTCTGAGCTCACGACTCATGCTCGGTGAAAGTTCAAACCTTACGAGCACAGCTAATCCTCAACGCAACGATGCTTTTGTCATAACAGACGCAAAGCCGTTTGTACACCAAGAAGTGTCGAGCTCCGAGGATGATTTTGGTAGAAGCGCTATGTTTGATTAGATATCTATAAAATACATTGATGCGAAAATTCAAATATCTTTGTTGATGATAAATAATTATGATTTCTTTCAAAACTTATTTTGGTATCTGTCAAAATATTAAAATCTAAAATTAACCTAATTGAAAAGTTCTTTGTTTTTAAAGAGAAAAAGAAAAGCATCATCTACACGATTGATAATTCGGTCACACTCGATCTTTAGCAAAACAAGCCTTTCACGCTCAAAGGAAAATTTTTTCACGTCTAGGTTCTTTCAAAATAAATTATTGAAGGTTAACTCGAGTTTTCGATAAGACAAAAAACTATTCGAGTTATAGCCAATCGATTTATCTTCCAAATGGCACATACCGGGCTTATTGTTGTAGCTGTGGTTGGTTCAGTTTTAGTTATAGCCCTAATCACTGTTTTACTAGTATGGTTTTACTTGGGTAAAAAGCTGCGAAAAAGTACTAGCGCCACTGCTGAGAACGAATTCGACAAAATGGAATCCCGTCAAAGTATTTTGGATGCTTACGGCCGACGTTTCCAAGATGATGAAAAAGCTCGTGAAGAGGAGCAGCTAAGAAAATGGAAGCCAAAAAAGAGCAATAAAACCCCAAGTAAAAGTAGCCAAAGCGGCGTTGATGTCGGTAGTAGGCTTTCGTCTTTCGTAAATTCAGCCTCAAACTCGAATGCGGCTATTTCGGAAGATGTAAAAGAAACAGCTGGGCAAGTTTCTGATGATTTGAAAGCGGGAGCAGATGTGATTGCCGATGATCTGAAAACAGGTGGAGAAATAATCTCAAACGACTTGAAAACAGGCGCGGAGAAAATTTCTAATGATTTGAAAAACGCCAAGAAATAGAGGCTATATTAACAGTTAATTTGAACCGCGTTTTATCTGAATTCTGTTGCAAATTATCCTATCTAGTATTTTTTTGATGCAATTGATTTTGAGCCGATATGAGAACCTTGATTCAAGCTAAATAAATCTGTTCAACGAAATGTCTGTTTTTTTCCTGAATAACAAATAGTCATAATTCTCGAATTAAACATAATTCTCGAATGAAACATAATTCTCGAGACTTTTTTAAACTAATTGTTCCGACTTTCGATACGAAAGTAACGGAATATTTGTGCTCGGGGTGGGTTTTTTTTTTCTTCAGACAAATTTCGACTTTTTAACTAGCCATTTTGACGGAATTTTTTTTATATCATTCGAAAGGTATTGTTGTCTTGAGCTCAAATTTGAAAAGATATTTTACCTGTGATCATTTTTCGTAAAGTTATGAGGGTTTAAAGATTGTCATTTTGGCCAATTTGGGACAATTAACGCGCGATATATTTCGCGCTATTAACGCGTAAGCGGAGAGTTAATCCGTCTTAGAAATCGTTCCAAATTGGTTGAAAGAAGCTTATTTGCCATAATTGGTTTGTTACAAGGAGCGAAATCTATATTTTTGTTCCGACTTTCGATACAAAAGTAACGGAATATTTGTGCTCGGGGTGGGTTTTTTTTTCTTCAGACAAATTTCGACTTTTTAACTAGCCATTTTTGACGGAATTTTTTTATATCATTCGAAAGCCACTGTTGTCTTGAGCTTAAATTTGAAAAGATATATCACCTGTGATCATTTTTCGTAAAGTTATAAGGGTTTAAAGATTGCCATTTTGGCCATTTTGACCAATTTGGGACAATTAACGCGCGATATAATTCGCGCTATTAACGCGTAAGCGGAGATTTAATCCGTCTTATAAATTGTTCCAAATTGGTTGAACGAAGCTTATTTGCCATAATTGATTTGTTACAAGGAACGAAATCTATCTTTTTGTACTTTATATGGCGTGTGGGGGGATGATTTTCATAAAAATTTCAAATTTTAGAAATTTTTTTTTTCATTTTAGTTTATTTCATTAAATTTTTTATGTTATTACTGCTGCTCCACAAACCTTAAAAGGCAGTCAAAACATTCAGGGCTTCGCCCTGATACGAGCAGTCTTGTTTTTGTTTAAAAAGCTTTAGTGGTAATATGGAGTTTGGATAAATGACATAAGCGGAACGCGATGACTCAAATTTGCTTCGAATTAGAATTAAATTTTGGTATAACTTCACTGTTTCCTTCAACGCGCATGCTTAGACAAGCTAGATATCTTTTGATAGATCATCTGCGAATATATTTAGAAATAAATTACTAAGATTTTTGTGCGGCAGAGGCGCTGCGAGATGTTTGAAGAGCTAGTTAGCAGTAGACAAAAGCTTACCCAGCGTATAAAACAACGTGTAGTCTCTTTTCGAGAGAAAACAATTGGTTCTTATAGAAGAAACAAGACTGCTCGTATCAGGGCGAAACCCTGAATGTTCCGACTGCCTTTTAAGGTTTATGGAGCCGTAATAACATTAAAAAATTCAATGAAATAAAATAAAATGAAATTTTTTAAATAAAAATCATCACCCCACACGCCATATAAAGTGCAAAAGGATAAATTTCGCTCCTTGTAACAAACCATTTATGGCAAATAAGCTTCTTTAAACCAATTTGGAACGATTTCTAAGACGGATTAACTCTCCGCTTACACGTTAATAGCGCGAAATATATCGCGCGTTAATTGTCCCAAATTGGCCAAAATGGCAATCTTTAAACCCCCGTAACTTTACGAAAAATGATCACAGGTGAAATATCTTTTCAAATTTGAGCTCAGGTCAACAATACTTTTCGAAGAATATTTAAAAAATCCGTCAAAAATGGCTAGTTAAAAAGTCGAAAATTGTCTGAAGAAAAAAAAACTCACCCCGAGCACAAATATTCCGTTACTTTCG